TTAGGAAGATCCATCTGGCCATGGTATGCAGGACTGAATAGAAAGAAAAGAGATGTGGTGCAGGAAGGCCAGTTAAGAGAGTCTCGTAATAAGGGTCAGGGCTTGGATTGGTGGTGGCAGGGGAAATGATGAATGTGAGAAACATTGTAAAAGAAGAAACACATAGGATATGGGGATCAATAGGGAAACAGTCAAAGATCATTAGAAGGCTGTGAGGGTGGTGGTGGTGGTGTTCAGTTGTTTTCAGTCTTGTCTGACTCTTTGTGACCCCATCTGGAGTTTACTTGGCAAAGATACTGGAGTGGTTTGCCATTTCCTTATCCAGTTCATTTTACAGATAATGAAACTGAGGAAACAGGGTTAAATGACTTGCCCAGGGTCACACAGCCAGTAAATATCTGAGGCCAGATCTGAACTCAGGAAGATGTGAGATTGTATGATTGAGCAAAGGAAAGAGAACATTGAGAGAGTCAGAAAGATCAAGAGAAGGAGCTGGCTTTGTGGAGAAGGTTTAACTTTAGGCAGGTTAAGTTTGGGATGGTAACAAAGCATCAAGATGGAGGTCCCTAGCATGTAGTAGGAAATGAAGGACTAGAACCTAAAAGAAGATACAGAGAATAGAGAGTGAGCAAAGGTTTTTCAGCAGGGAATATCATGGTCAGATCTGTTACTGTAAAATTGGTCAACATAGTATTTATACACAGGATGGTTTCGAGAAGGGGAAAAGTGAAGACAGGGAGATTAGTTAGGAATCTAGTGTAAATTAGTCCAGATGAAATGGTGAAATAAGATGAATTATGGTATTGGCAGTATGAATGGAGAGGTGGGGACAACCCTGAAAGGTAGTAGGGTGAGAAAATCAACAGTATTTGGCAAGAGAGATCGCTAATCAATGAATCAGTAGGTATTTATTGAGTCTACTATGGGCTAGACACTATAATGGGCTCTGGGAATATAAAGAGAAAAATGGAAAATCCTTGCTCTCAAGGAAATTACTTTTTATCAGGTTAAGAAGAAGGTAATCCATTAAAATGGTTCAGTGCCACCTAGATGGTCAGAAGAAGTGAAAGGGATTTACCCATCACCACTGGTATCTCTTTCCATGTTGTCATTGAAATACTCTCCAGAATCTCTATTATCCAGCCCTTTAGTTATGCTCATATCTTGGTCTTTATCATGATTGTATACTGTATTGTATGGATTGTGCCCCTCAGTCTGACTTTGTAATTGCCATCTAAAACTGTCTTCGCTGAAACTTATGCATCCCGGATTCTAGTGCTGCAGAAACCCATTAAACTCTAAACAGATTTTATTTGCTGAACAAATGTTAATGCCATTCTACGTTAATGGATAATGCAACAGAAAGCACCTAAGTATTACAGCACTGGAACCTTTAAGGATGAAAAATTGTATAACTTGGAAGACTGTCTGTTGCAAACATATGTCAGCCATAAGGGCTTCAAGACCTGATCTCCTATCTTCTCAGAGCTCAGATATAATTTCTCCCTTGGTTAAGTGAATTTTGCAATAACACACAGATTTATTAGGTCCCATGATTAAAATACACAGAGTAGGAATATAAAATCATTATGCTTTAGAACATACTGTTAGATTCAAATGACTCTAAGGCAATCACGTCAGCAAAAAGGAGAGAGATGGAAAAAAGTCAAGCAAAGGGTCGATAACTTTAGTTATCAAATTCGCATGTTCATGTGCCCAGAGGCACCCATCTGGCTCTTAGATATCATGAAAGAGGAAGCATAAGCCTGGACAGCACAATTACCACAATTATTCTATTAATGAGCAGTGACCCATTGACAAAGTGTAGTCTCCTTTGATTGATTTATGGTTACATAGTGGATCCAGAAAAAAAATGAGTGGAAACTATGAACTGAAACCTTTTTCTTTTTTAAAAATTATCTATATGATCTAGACCTACCCTCATAAAAATAAGCCCATAACTTATAGAGTAACAGTCCCAGTGACAGAAATGCAAGAATATACAGGGTGATATTCACTATAAGTTTCATAGCACTGGTCACATATACAGAATGAATAACAGGAAAAACAAGGCACTGGCTGAGTGTGGTTGCACACACCTGTAGTCTCTGCTACTAGGGAGGCTGAGGCTGGAGGACTGCTTAAGGTCAGGTGTTCTGAGCTATATATAGAAGGACTAAAGTTTGATAATGTGTCCACACTAAGACTGGTACTATTATGGTGAGCCCATGGGAACAGAATGCCACCCAACTGCTCTGAGGTGAACTGGTGCAGGTCAGAAAAATGAAGTAGATTAAAGCTTCTCTGCTGATGAGTACTGGGATCAGGCTGTGAATGACAACTGCATTGACAGTCTGCAAAATAGTTAGAAGAAAGGAAGGAAGGAAGGAAAAGTACCAAATTAAAGCTAAGTAAAATTCTCAATCTCATTAAAAGGAAATCTGGCAAAGAAAACACTTTTTAGAATTTCCAACAGAAAGTAAGCCCTTGAAGGATAGGGCTATGGTATTTTTGTCTTTGTACTTCATCTACTGGCTAGTATGGTGCCTTGCATATGCCCTTAATAAAGGTTTGTTGAATTGAGTAGATTATAAGAGGTTGAATTTATTTGATAATCTTAATATTTCAGAACACAAGCCTAGGTAAGAGTGTCACAGTCACACACATGCAATTTCTTGGGTCAATTGTCACTTTCATTTAGATGGTGGCACTTACTCTGTTCAGACACATCACCCACCCCATCACCGAGAAATGACGAGAAGGTAAAAGAAAGTCTAGCTTACTATTATTACTACCCTGGCTTCTGGCTGCTCCTGGGCTTCTATAGCATATTGCCATCTGAAGTGTTACAGAAAAAAAAACTGTGTTAACCAGTGTTTTATAGATATAGACAGACATCTATATCTATTTATGTATAATGTATATATGTATAATGTGTATAGTATATATTTATAATGTATATATATGTATAATAACTGTGTTATTATTACATAATCATATTATCACCTGACAAAATTTTAATTTAGGAGGCTCTTGCAAATCTGTTCTTTAATTCTATCCAAGACTTTCTTCTTTTCTGTACTCAATCCCCCTCACAGACCCTATGGCAATGTTGGAAGCACCGGCATAGCTATGGTGGTACCCAGGTATGGCACTATACGTGAGACTGCGAAAGTTGAAGTTCAGTACTGTGGACAGTGACTGAGGAGCACGAGAATGCACTCTTTCAGAACAGTATGACTTTAATATCTTATGCTGTATTTGCTTTATTTTAAGTAAATAATGTGCTTTGGGCATATGTATTACTGAAAAAGTGAAACATGGAAGAAAAAGATGAAATGACCATTTCCCACCACACCATCAGGTTTTACAGGAAAAAAAAGGGGGGGGGAAAACAAGAAGGAAGTGTACTTAAATTTTTTTTGATTTGAAGGTAAGGTAAGAATTAATCTCTCATGGCACTTTATGTATCATGCACAAACACCATGATGCACCAAAATAAGGCTATTTGCCCCATTAACAATATCTATGAATATTCTAGTCCCCAAAGATACACATGCACTGAAAAGAGAGACAGAGAGAGAGAGAGAGAGAGAGAGAGAGAGAGAGAGAGAGAGAGAGAGAGAGAGAGAGAGAGAGAGAGAGAGAGAGAGAGAGGAAGGAAGGAGAGAGAAAGAGAGAGAGAGAGAGAGAGAGAGAGAGAGAGAGAGAGAGAGAGAGAGAGAGAGAGAGAGAGAGAGAGAGAGAGAGAGAAACTCAAGTTAGGATGCTGCATTAGGGCACCTAATAGGTATTCAATAAATATTTATTGATGAATTAGTTGGTTGAATTTAATCTGAAACAAACATTTGAATGGAAAAGATGAAATAATTTAACACACATTTCAACACCAGAAAAGGCAGGGAGGGGAGGACCTGCCTGCTTTTGACAAATGTTTTCTAAGTTAAACTGCCAGGAAAAAAATCACAAGACGCTCAACAGATCAATCTTAAATAAAGTATTTGGCCTCTTTGAAAGACATATGATTATTTGACAATATATGCAAGAAAGAAACCTGCCTTTGGGAACAGCATGATTACTAATGTAGAATTCTAAACCAAATAACTATATTACTATAATTCAATAACAATTCTAGAAAAAGTGTGTACGATGTCCAAAAGATAGAAACATATTAAAATGAAGGGTTTTTTTCTCCTGCTGGGATTTGCCATACCATCTGGTCTAATTTGTCTTGGTGTTTTGCCCAGTAAAATATAAGCTTTCTGAGAAATGCAAATTATTAGGTTACTACTCTGAAGAAGAAAATATGAGTGAAGAATATGGGTGGTAGATGACACCCTGAGTATAAGTTGGTCTACTTAAGGAAACACTCAATATGGAAACATATCCTAACCTAGACCAATCTGAGTGTGAAACTGTTTCACACAGTGAACACAAAATAAAGGTGACTGTGATGAAGAGTTCTGAAATACAAACAGTAATAAGGATAATAATGATATGCAAAACAATATGAAAATAATTTATCAGACACTGAACACCACCTTTTCACTGGAGTGCTACCAATTCTAATTAAGTTTAGGAGAAAAAATAGCAAGTCAACTCTTGCCTCACTTGAAAGGTATAGATCATTAAAGAATGATTTTAAATATTGGTGTGAAAAATGGAAGCATCCAAATGTGAACAACAATATATATTTTCATTTACAATTCTATCCTATCTTCTTGCTAATCAATTTAGTAGCGGTCATCTTTGTTTTTGCCAAGAAACCATGTCATCCTGTAGCTCAACTGGTTTCCTTCCAGAAGTTTTATAACAGAAAACATTATCTAGATAACTAAAATGATTTCTATAGATAATAATAAAATATACTTTTTTTTTTTACATTAAGGGGTTAAGGATAGGGACTATGGAAGATATCATGAGTCTGGTAGTTCCTACTTAGTTCCCATTTAGATTATATGCCCAACAATATGATAGATGGGATTTTAAAAAGTTCCTACCCGTAATATTTCTTCAACACAGCTGTTATCGCCTGATCCACTGTCCTGAAAGCAAAGGAAAATATAACTGTAAGCCAGACACACCAAATGTTCTTAGGAAGGGCAGTCAGACAGAGACAGAGTGAGATATTAAAGACAGGCCCCCGATGAACAGAAATGAAATAAATTTTCAACTTACAGAATTATGATATTAGGGGTATACAAATCTCTCTCTGGCATGATCTCCTAAACGTAGGAAATTGGGGAATTTGTGTTATACTTTTGGAGCCCCTTCCATTGCTGCACCTTCTGCCTTGAGCCTCTACCTAATTACTCTTTTGGATGTCAGGCTCTTTTGGTTCCTATTATGGCCTTTGTTTTTACTGTCACAGCTGAATAGGCCAAAAGCCACTTAGAATTGGCTTAGCACTGGTCTCCTAATTCTCTTCATGCCCTAGCATGCATTTTCTGACCATGTAGCTTTTTAGGTCTGGCTTAGGTTCTAACTCAGTTTTCGAGGAGTAAGCACTCGTTGTCTTCGGGCAACATCTGAAGACTATAGCTGCCACATGTGAAAACAATAAAATATCAATAACAAAAACCATAAGCTTTTATAACTAACTCCCTAATTTTACAGGGGACAAAACTGAGACACACTGAGGTAAGGTATGGGTAGTAAATGGAATTAACCTTGTACCTTTCAGTTTACAAAGAAATTTGCCAAAAAATAGCCCTATGAGGTAGGCAGGAGAAGTATTATTATTCCTATTTTTACATATAAGGAAAATGACCTGATGAAGGTCACCCAATTAGTAAACTTCCGAGCTCAGGCTCAAGCCCATGTCTTTTGAGTGCAATCCAGTGCTATTTCTATTGTATCACACCTTCTCAACTGCAACTTCAACAGTATTATATCAGTACAACATAAGCCTAGTTGATTCTCTAAGATGTATTTTCTTTTAAAATGGCATTTTTAATGAACTTTCTAGAGAGCTAAATACTATGTTGTATTGGGATATGCATGGGACTTAGATGTTAGTCGACCTGGGTTGAATTCCTCACTTATTAGTTGTCTTATCTTCTGTAGTTCACTTAATCTTTCTGAATCTTAAGGGTTTTTTTGGGTTTTTTTTTTAGGCAATTGGGGTTAAGTGACTTGCCCCGGGTCACGCAGCTAGTAAGTGTCAAGTGTTTGGTCTGAGGTCGGATTTGAACTCAGGTCCTCCTGACTTCAGGGCTGGTGCTCTATCCACTGCACCACCTAGCTGCCCCCTGAATCTTAAATTTTTTTTAAATAAAAATTATCTTTTGTCTTTATGACACCTTTATTTCCAGAGAGGTTTCCTCATACCTACCCTATACTGTGAGCCATTCCTTATAATAAGCATTATAAAAGAAAGAGAAAAGAATAGAGAGTGAAACTAACCAATACATTAACCAAGTCTAATGAGTATAGTCAATGTTCCACATCCACAGTCCTCTACCTCTGGAAAGAAGGGAGGGAAGCGAATTTTCTTATCTCTTCTTTGGGACCAAGCTTGGTCACTATCTTATATAATGTTTAGTGTAGTTGTTCTTTCTAGTTACGTCATTGTTGTCATAGACATATTGTTTTCCTGGTTTTGTTTACTTCTTTCTATGTCAATCAGTTCATATTTCTTCCCATGCTTCTCTGAATTTTTCATATTCATTTTTAAAAGCAATACCCCATTGTTTAGCTATTCTCTAATAAATAGGTAATACTATTTCCAAATCTCTGCTAATACAAAAAGTGTTGCTATGAAATTTTGGCATTATATGGCATCTTTCTTTCTGTTATTAATCTCCTTAAGATATATGTCTTACAGTGAGATGTCTGTATTGAAGGGGAGATTTAGTCATCTTTCTTTCTTCCTTTCTTTCCCAAATTACTTTCCTGAATGGTTGGGCCAACTTACAGTTCCACCAACAGTGTATTAATGTGACAATCTTTTTGAAGTCCTTCTAACATTGGCTATTTTCCTCTTTTGTCATTTTTGCCAATTTGTTGGGTGTGAGGTGAAAGTTTAGGGTTGTTTAGATATGCATTTTCATAGGGAGGCAGCACGGTACTGAGGAAAGAGTGTTCCTTTATAGTGAACTATAAAACACCTGGGTTAGAATTCTGGCTCTACTACCTGTGTGACTTTTGACAAATCACTTTACATCACTTTCTTCATCTATGTAATGCTACTATGGAGCAGATCTTCTATATTTGCATTAGTTCCCTTTTTATCTTGGATATAAGGCTTCTCAGAGATATTTGATGTAATGATTTTTAAAAATCAGTCTACTTTTTCCATTCTTCTAGTTGTATTGATTTTGTTCATGCAAAAGCTTTTCAACATAATGTAATCACAATCATACTTTTATCTTAGTCTGAGTTTCTTCATTTATAAATTGGGGATAATAAAATTTGCATGACTTCTCATACAAGTCATGATGCTGTGAGAATCAAATGAGATACTCAGATACTCAAATGGACCTATAATTTTTTCATTATGGAAGTTTTCTCCAGTGATTTAGACGGCAACGCTTTTGTGGTATATAGCCTGCTCATACTTACCATGCACCTCTCAATTTTCATGCTTGTTGACCAACTGTGTGATATGTAGAATTACTTCTTGGAGCTTAAAACATTACATAATGGTCAGCTCTCATTTTTACATATCCATCTTCATCTCAAAGTACATACAATACTCATAGTCACAGTAAAGCCCCAAAAGCTTACATGAAAGCTCACTACTAGGAATAATTCTCAAAGTTTGTTAACCCTTCTCTCCATCTTAAAAACCCTTCCTCCTTTTGCTTCCATGATACTACACTCCTATGATTTTTCATCTATCTCTCTGATCAATCACTGGTTTCTTGATTTCCCTTTGCCCTTTGAAAATGAATATAACTAAAGAATCTACCCTTGTTTCCTTCTCTTTTCTACTGTCCTTCCTTTGAAAATATTCATTCTTTTGGTTTCACCTATCACCTCTGTAGGAATGAATCTCAAATCTTTATCTTTCATTATCTCCCTAAGGTCTCCCAGATCTTTTTGGATATCTCCACTTATATTAGCACCTCAAACTCAACATGTCTACAAGTGAATTTCTCACCTTTTCTCCAAAATCCATCCCTTCCCCTAATGTCTGTGTTTCCATTTATGGCACCATCTTCCTTCCAGTCACTTGGGCTCCTAAATTAGGAGTCAGAATCTCTTATTCTTCCCTCTTCCATACTTGCCACATCCAATCATTTTCAATGCCTAGGAATTCTAATTCCACAACATCTCTCAATCCATCTTCCTCCTTCCCACTCTCATTGCAATAAATGAACACAGTGTAATATTATCATACTATTGAGAAATTATGAAGACTACAGAAAAACACAGGAAGATTTGCATAAACTGATGCAAAGTGAAGTAAGCAGAGCCAGGAAAACAACATATATAATGATTACAACAATACTATTGTAAAGAACAAAAACTGAAACTGAACACTGAATAATTATAATGACCAACCTTGTTCATGAAGAACACATCTCCCTCTCTTCTTTGTAGCAGTGTGAGACTGAGTGTGAAACATTGCATATATTATCAGAATTGGTTAGTTTTGCTGAACTGCCTTTTCACCCCTTCATTTTTTTTTTGTTATGAGATGGCTCACTGGATTGGGATAGATGGAGGAATATTTGGAAATGAAAGTAATATAAAAACAAAAAAAATCAATAAATTTTAAAGACTTACCACAATCTCTCTTTCAATCTACCCTTTCATCCATATCTTTTATTACTCCTCTTCATGCAGGTTATAGAATAGTCAAAATAGAACTTTCTTCTGTCCCTCCTTCCTGTCTTGCCTTCTCCTACTTCCATGTTTTTGCTCATGTCATCTCCTATCCATGGAACATATTCTCTTCATTTCCTGCTGAGATCCTTTATTTTCTTGAAGGCCAACTCAATGAAGCTCACCCTAGCTGAAAGTGATAGCTTTCCCTCCGTCAACTACTAAAAGAATTTCATTTGAAATTTTTCTTAACACTTATCACATTCTCCCTCCTATCATACCTAATATATATATATATATATACATATATATATATATATATTCATATCATATCTTTCTAAGTATACTGTAAACTCCTTGGAGACTGTATCAATTATTTACTTTTATCTCCCTAGTATGTACTTCAGTACCTTATGCATACTAGGTGTTAGTGAATATTTGCTTAATTGAAATAAATTACTACACTTTTTTTTTTAACAGGTAAGATGACCAACATAGAGGGACAATGTTTGCTACAACTTTTTGTAACTTGCTGAGCATTAGAATTCAGAAGGAAAGCATAATTGACTTCAGTTGTGGAGCAGTGCTATTCTTCCTTGGAAAACACAGTTCTCAGAAATTACATTACCCTGGTGATGTCCTTTCCATGGAAACCACAGGAATTTAAAAAGGAGAGAAGTACTTCAGCCTTAATTCCTTTTGTCTTGTGCTGAAGTGATTTCAAGGAGAAAAGCGTGCTGGTTGCCGCATGTGCTGGTTTGTGCTCCGTGTGAAACACTTGGAAACATTTATAGCTCTTGAAGTGCTAATGGATGGATGTTTGCTAGATGTCCAGTGCCAAGCAGTAGTGCTGTGAAAGCATAATTTTTGAGTTTCAGTGAAGTTCTAGACTACTAGCCATGACATTAAGGGTATGTGCAAACCTCAGTCCTCTATATTTGTGGTCCAGAGCATCCCAGAATATGACTCTTAATTCATTTCAATTCAGCATACTCTTATTAAGTGCCTACTATGTGTGAGGTGACAGGAACAAAAAAAAATGAGACAGCCTTTGACTTCAAAGAGCTTACAATCTGAGGGTGGGGGTAGGGAATGACATGCATACAGATAACTATGATACAAAGGAAAGCAAAAATCCAAGAAATGTGCTGTTTGAAATTTGAGAGATCAGTTTTAGTTGGGATTGTGCGGAAATGAATGGAGTAAGAAGTGGCTGAGTTGGGCCTTTAAGTCATGTCAATAAACATTTATGAAGCACCTACTATATGCCAGG